GCATTGACCAGGGTCCCATTCGTGAGAATAAAGTGGCAGAATCCATAGAATTAGAAAGACCGGGGATCCCATCAGACGATCCTACGAGACAATCTCTGAGCGACAGTTACGTAGGGGTCTGGAGATCCATTCGCACCTTAAAGTTCTTTAAGAAAGACACTTTACTTGACAACATGGAGGTTCAAAGTCCTTGATGATTGGTTTTCTGCTTGACAGAAGTGCATGTTAAATTGAAGTATTGTTGAACTGATGGTGTGAACAATGTTTGCCTTTTTCTCTTCTGAACATGATTTTATGAAAAACATTTATTTTTTATAAAAAGGTATAGGCTGTTTGTATATTAGAGGGAGTATAACTATATGACATTGAGGAATCCCCAATAACAGATGTGCCAATTTATTGACTTAAAATAAAATATCCTATTGTTTCAGAATCGGTTTAAAATTACTTTGGGGAAAAAAATCAAATATCTTAATAGAAATGGTCTACTCAAAAATGACAATTCTATCATCATTTACTTATCTTCATATCATTCCAAACCTGTATGACTTTCTTTGTTCTGTGGAGCATAAAAGATGATATTTTGAAGAATGTTGGTAACCAAACAGTTTGAGTTCCCATTAACTTCCATTATGTGGACAACAATGGAAGTCAATGGGAACCAAAACCGTTTGGTTATCAAAGTTCGTCAAAATGTCTTTTTCTTTTTGTGTGTGTTTGAAACGTCATGAGGGTGAATAAATGATGACAGAATTTTTATTTTTGGGTGGACTATCCCTTTAAATTAATTGAATTGTTTTGTTTGATTATTTATGTACGCAGTGTCTGTGCCTGTATATTTTCTGTGTTTTGTCTACGAATGCAAATCTTGAATAGGAGGCATTGAATTTTCCCATTTGCATGTAGTATGCACAATTAATTTAAACTGATTTTACATCAAAATTCTGATCTTTGCGTATCATCTTTAATAATGCCCACCAACTGCTTTAGCTCGAAGAAAGTGTGCAATCATTTAGAATCATCTAGCAATCTGAGAGATGGTTTGCTTGTCAGTAATTCACAAGTGGTGGGTCACGACCAAGAAATTAGTTGCTGTTCAGACATTAGGGAAGAACAGTATTTTATCTAAATAATAAAATGCAACTGACCATATAATCATGCGGGTAAGACAGGAAAATACTTAAAGCAATTTTTAAAAGGGAAATGCTTCCTGTATGTTTTCTTGTATTTTGCCAAAATAGACAGGTTATGTCACATGAAGTAATTCTCATAAACCAACAAAATTGTCAAGGTAGAAGAAAATACAACCTATATTGAAAACAGATTCACTTGCAACAAGGATAAGGTTTGAGCTGGTCATAATCTTTTGTGTTGTGGAATATTGTCTTTTGAAAGCATGAAATCGAGAGACAAGAAAAAGTATTTTGGGGATCTGATCACATCAGAACAAATAATCAAAATATATCGTAGTGTTTGGTTTTGGGACATTTTTATTTACTTTTACAAACACTTTTACACACACTTGCCATTTGTTGTTTTAAAATCGCACACAGCTGAGGACCTCTGCATTAAATTAAAGTCAATATCTATCGAGCTTGTGTTAGCTGACTTTACCAAATGTAATGTTTGATGCATTTGATTGGGTTCTTATCAGCAAAAATAGACCATCATCAAAAGCCGATTCTTTAGGCATTGCTAGACTACTGTAAATGCAAAACATAATGAAATGTATTTCTAAATATAGAAGTCCTACATCATTTTGTATGTAACACAGTGAACATGCCTCTTTAGTGTACTTGTCAAAATGAGAGTCCATCAGTTGCTTTCACAGTGAGCACTTTAAAGCAATAGTTCACCCAAAATGAAAATTTGCTGAAAATGTACTCAGTCTGAGGCCATCCAAGATGTAGATGAGTTTGTTTCTTCATTGGATCAAATTTGGAGACATTTAGCATTACATCACTTGTTCACCTATATGTAGTGAATGGGTGCCGTCAGAATGAGAGCCCAAACATCTGATAAAAACATCACAATAATTCACAAGTAACTCCAGTCCATTATTTTGGGAAGTGAAAAGCTGCATCTTTCTAAGAAACGTATCTACATCTTGGATGGCCTGAGGGTAAATTTTCAGCAAATTTTCATTTTGGGTGAGCTATTTCTTTAACGCCACGATAATGCATCTAAATGTGCCTTTCAAATCCTCATTTTTTTGGTTTGTTAGTAGCATTCATTATTCTCAGTCAGACAAGCATCTTTAAGAATTAAATGTAAACCAGACTTTAGACCTCTCTGAACAGTATTAGTTACTGTTGCACTAGAGCAACAGAGGTGTACTATATAGGGAACATTCATGTTACACTCCCCATGGCTTTCCATTTAAAATGATCTTTGCCTGACAATGAACAAGTAAAAGCAAATAAACTTCTCATGAGTACCAGGTGCTTTTGTTATAAATTTCAGTTATAATAGATGGCACAGCATGGAGTATTATCTCCTTTATTTTGCTCAAGGCATACACGAAAGACAATTTGCCAGACAATAGCACAATCCCTCAGAGCCAAATGTATAAAAAGTTAATGCCATGCTTGAAGCCATGCGTGGAAAAGATGCTGTTTTGTGATGATCACATGGCTTTTCATGAAGCATTTGCTTGTTTGTTTTTTTGGTTTTATGTTCCCATTCTTAATAGCCTATGATTTATTGCCAGTTTGATTTAATATTCAATGGTCAAACATATTTCCAGGAAATATTGCTCTTTAGATTAATGGCAACAGCTGATTTCAACATTCAGTATCACAGCGATATAAAATGCATGACATCTGTATTTTATATTTAGGTATACATTTTGTTTTAAATAGGAATTTAATGCATTTGGCTCACTGCGAAACATGCTTGTCCTCTAATCTTTTCTTCTTCTTCCTTTAATCAGCACATTTAAATCTTGGATTTGCATATCTTTACTTAATCGGACTGGAGTTGATTTATTTGCCTTTAAGTAGGTCTCTCTCTCTCTCTCTCTCGCGCTGAGTAGCTTGAACACTCGAACAAAAGCTTGAAAAATGTCAGCCTGCAGTGAAGCACAAAAATAAATAAATAAATAAAAGCATGGACACGGGCCACTTGGTTATCTAGACTTGCCTTTGGCACAACAGAACGTTTAAGAAATATTATTTCCACAAACCCAACAGGTTCATTCAGCAACTCCCATGATTACATGATGCCATCTACTGGACATTAGTGATGGGAAGTTCGGTTCTTTTCCGCGAACCGGTTCTTTCGGACAGTTCGATTCAATAAACCGGTTGAAAAAACCGGTTCACCGGTTCTTTTACGCTCGACGTAATGACGTCATTGGCGATGACGTAATGGCGTCAAGTCTATCGCGGGCTTAACACATTCAAATATAAAGTCAGTAATCATAACATCAGTCAATTAAAACATCATTATAATCTGATACGTTTCTTACAATTTGGATTTTTGTATCTAAAGCATCAACACATATACAGGCAGTGATCTGCAAACTAGGATGTTTTACAGTTATGACGTCAATAAATTAGTCTTCATCAGCGCAGAAACTATGCTCCACTTACTATGTATAATCCATTACGGTTTATTTGTAATTAAGTAAACTTACGTTTCGCCGGATTGCCCTTCATTCAAGTCTTCGGTTTACCCGCGCTCATAACATTAGCACAGAATCAGTTGTCCAAAAGAACCAGTTCGGTTCAGACGTGCTGTGTCAGTCATAGTAGGCAATCTGTTCGGTAGCTTCACGCTGAATCACGCATGCGCAGTATCATCAGCTCATCGGTTCTCAAATCGGACATGTCCGAAAGAAACGGTTCTCGGTTCAGTATACTGGTGATCCAAAAACCGATGCAACCGGATCTTGACTCGAGAACGAGAACCGCTCCAGCAGTGGGCGTGTACGTTCGTTATCCGGCTCGCTGCACACATGCTGCTCTGCTCGTGTTCATCTTCAGTTCTCTCTTCACAGCAGTTCAGTCAGTGTACTGTTTGAGTAAATTAATTACTCCTGGATATTGGTTTATTTCGACTCGGAGGGAGTGTCAGCCACGTTAAAAAAGTAAATAACTTAAGTAAATTGTGGATTAATGCTACCTGGAGACGCGAACCGTTTCAAACGATTCAGTCCGATTTGGTGAACTGGTTCAACCGGTTCACTAAGAAGAACCGGTTAAATTGAACGATTCGTTCGCGAACCGGTCATCACTACTGGACATAGGTAAGTGTTTTCCACTTGTTTACATGAAATTGGCGGGGTTTTTTACACAACCAAAGTGATGTTGTGTAGCACTACATTAAATAACAATGAAGTAACAAATAGTATATAATGCTTAATAGACCAAACATGTATGCACATCAAACAGCCTATATGTTTAAAAATACGTAACTATTTCAGTAGTCTACATAAAATTTGGGCTATTGTTTCCACTTTTCTTTTGACACCTAAAGAAACAGGGGGAGCTCGTTATTAAAAGGGCCATTTTTTTCGTGTTATTTTAGTATTATTTATATAAAACAATAATTTTAATATTTTTAATTCGTTTTTTTTTTTCTTTATTTGTCATTTTTCATCTTAAGTTATTTTATTAAGTTTTGTCATTTTAAAATATGGTTTTATTTAATTATTTGAATATTACTATTTATGTTTCATTTATTGCTTTTTTAGTTTTAGTTCAGTTTTTTATTTAGTAATTGTAGTGCCTCAGCTTAAACTTATTTAATTTTTATTATTATTTTCATCTAATATGTATATTTTATTTCAGATTTATTTTAATTAACAAAAAATTTCAATTGTTTGTCATTGTAATGTAATTATTTGTAATAACCATACAATATGTTATTATATTTTAATGTATCTATTTAGTATGAAAAATTTTATAGCAATGTTTTAAAGTTAACAAATTAACAAATGTTGAGAAACAGAAAAAAACCCGAAAACGCACGCAGTCAGTTTTGTCCCTCTACGGACGCTGTAGCTTAGCTTAGCTTTACTTACGTTTGACGTCAAACTAACCGGTGATTTTCAAATCCGAGCGCGTATTTCAGCATCTCTGAAGTTCTTATCTAATGTAACTGTTAATTCAAATTATTTACATTATCTATGTAAGTCATATTACGCATTATGATTTGACGTTTGATATTTAGTTTAATCGGTTGTGTACAGCGTGATTAAACTTGTTTGTAACGTTTGTCGTTTTGTCTTACGGATTGTAACAATGTAAACAAAAATATGACGATCTTTTATTGTTTAATTTTAGAGAAATGGAGGCCAACAAAGAATCACCTAGTGCCTTTAAAACGCCTTGCAAGCCTGCAAAAGTGAAAAGTCCAGGTAAAGTGGTCTTTAAATAAATGTGATACTTTGATTGCAATGCATCTAGCTACACGCTACATTGTCTTTCTCATTATCAAGATGGTTTAACATTCCATCTTGATCAAAATGTGTTCGTTTTATATATATATATATATATATATATATATATAGTTAATATACATTTAAGTTAATTAACTATTTAATACATAACGTTATATATATATACATACATGTATGTATGTATAAAATAGTTAATTAACCTCTTAAGACCCGGCAAAACATTTTAGGAAAAAATTTGTATTTTTTTATGTCATTACATTGTTTAGAGAGCATAAAAAAAAATGTAAACAAAAAAACAATTTTTTAAATTATATTTCATTCCTAAGTTATGCTAAGAAAGTCATATTTTGATTTGAAACCCCATAACATTTTCCTGAGATGTTGATTTATGACACACAGTTTAAACATTTGTCCGATTTAAATGACGGAATTTAAAAATATTATCATATTTCCATTAGAGTGTCACTAAATTAATATCAGACATTTCTGAAGACCAAGGAGAGGGAGTGGTCATGGTGAAACATCCAAACATTTCGTATCTCTGAAAAGCCCTAAATGTGCTCTGTATAGGACATCCAGACTTAAAACTGTGGCATGTATAGTCTCAGAGAAATTCACTAAAATATAATGTCCTCATATGAGGATGCAGGGTCTCAGGAGGTTAACTTAATTGTGTTGTTATCAGTCAGTGCATGTGGAACCCCAGTCACCATTCCTGCCTCTCCCTTCATGAAGAAGCTCGGCTGTGGGACTGGAGTCAGTGTCTATCTCATGAACAGGTACGTACATATATTTGATGCATGTTTGTACTACCTTCACCATGATAGTGTAAAGAAAAAGTTGGAACATCTATGCCACTATTTACATCAGGATGGGTAAGCACACTCATTCACCGTGGGCCATTAAGAAGATCAGCAGCAAATGTGCAAATAGTCAAATGACCGTTTATCAGAAGCGTCTGTGCGAGGAGGCAAAGATCTTAAAAGACCTGCACCACCCCAATATTGTTGGTAAATATGTTTTTAAAGTACTACATTATAATGGTTAATGTGAGTATTATAAGACAAATATCTCTTTAAATGATTTATTTCCTGTGTGTTTTTAAGGTTTCAGAGCTTTTACCACAGCAAAGGACGGCTCGAAGTGTTTGGCGATGGAGTACGGTGGAGAGCAGTCTCTGAATGACCTCATTGAGAAGAGGAGAGAGGAGGGTCTACAGGCATTTCCAGTGACCACTATTGAAAAAGTGGCTCTTCATGTCGCACGTGGTTTACAGGTGTGATTGTTAAATCAAACATAAATGTGCTGTTACTGCTTTTTCCCATCTTTAAATGTTGTTGTTGATATTACACAATCTCAGGCTTCTACATATGTATGTATTTTGTCTTTTTTCTTCAGTATTTGCACAATGAGAAAAAGCTTTTGCATGGAGACATGAAGTCATGCAACGTTGTAATCAAGGACGACTTTGAAAGCATCAAAATCTGTGATGTTGGTGTGTCACTGCCACTGGATGAAAACATGCAGGGTATGAAAAGATTTCATATTTCAGCATTATTTTTCCTTGCTTTAATCATATTCTTTTACTTCAGATTTTCTTTTTTTTTTCTTATTTATATTTTAGCGTTTTGAATGATGACCCATCATTTGAGAACCACTCTATTAATCCTATGAAGTCTGACATATGAAATTAATAATCTGAAAAAATAAAGTTTAAACTATCAGACAGTAGATGTTGTGTACAACGTGTTTGTCAGTGTTGTGAATGATATTTCAAATCTTCTCTCCAGTGAGTGATCCAAAGGCCCACTATATAGGGACAGAGCCGTGGAAGCCTAAGGAAGCTTTGGAGGATGGAGTTATCACAGACAAAGCTGATATCTTTGCGTATGGACTCACTCTGTGGGAGATGATGACACTTTCTGTTCCTCACCTGGAGATACTGGACACTGAGGGGGATGATGATGATGATGATGATGATGGTAAAATTACTATAATTGTATCCATAGCTTATAGTGAATATATTTAGTTTTCATATTTTCCATAATTTTTTAAGTGCCTCATGACTCTTTTCTTGTTTTCTTAGATGATACCTTTGATGAGGATGATTTTGATGAAGATGCGTATTATGAGAGACTGGGAACTCGGCCTGCTTTGGACGCAGCCACTCTCGGAGGGGCTTATCAGAGGATGGTGGAGCTCTTCTGTCTCTGTACAGAGGAAGACCCTCATAAAAGACCTTCTGCAGCTCACATTGTTCAGGTGCTGGAATCAAACACCCAGCTTTGTGACAAAAGCAGTGAGGTCATTGTAATTGATTAAATGTTCACTGTTAAATTCCTGTCAATGTAAAATATACTGTATGTTTGCCTGTTGGGTCTGGTTACTGTTCTGTCTATACTTTTACTTTGTGAGCTGGTGCATTTTCACATTGTAAATACTTTTCTGTTGGCATGTTACACATTTTCTCTTATGTACTCTATTGACTTTCAGAGATTCTAAATACAGTAATTGTTGCAGTGCAATTTCGATTAAAAGCTCTTTTGCAACCATGGTCTTTGTGTGTAAAATCAGCACACATGCTAAAATGAATCTGTCTTGTCTTACCTACCTTGAATATAATTGTAATTTTACAATCCTTACTGTTAAATGTAACCATTTTAAACTATTAAAAGTAATTTATATTTAACGGAAATATCCATGTGAAGTTAACATGCCCTGTTGTGCTACGTTATATATTTTAAACTAAATGTTTTCAAAGTTTTGTGATGCCATGGATGTATTTATTTTTGCATGGGCCAGTTGTACTGTGAAAAACGTTAAATCTTAACCAACAAAATATAATTTACTTCCTGTTGTCAACATATTGTTAGATTTATAAGAAAAACAATGGCTGTCAAAAGAATGAAATAATTGTTAAGCTCATGCCGTTTAACCAGACTTAATTACGGATACAATACAATTAACAAATTAAAGGCAAAAGGTTAATTACAAACTAAAAACTTACGAGATAATTTACCTAAGCTATAAACTTATCTTCATATGTACACACTCTACAAGTTATTGATTAAAGGTTTATGGAAACAGTATTCAATGACCAACCCTTATAAGCAACCCTCTTTTAAATACACCATGTGCAAATTTTGGCTATAGCAATACAACTGCAAACAGCCAAAAAATTCACTCATGTATATTTGAAATTCACTATGACAAAAGAGATTTACATAAAGACAACACAAAATATTTGAAGTAGTACAATTTATTTAAAAATATGTACAAAGTCAAAAGCAAGGATCAGTTCAATTGAAAGTTCTCATTTTACAACCAACTTCAAGGCAATGATGAGTCTAATTTTCCAAACCGGAACCTTTAAGTCGTGGTAGTTAACGGGTTAACAGAGCTTGCATTTGTGCTAATGTAAAGTGTCTTAAATATTAATTCATGAACTCACTGTCAAAGACAATCCATTAATCTATACAAAACAGTAAAACATGGATCCTCTCCAGAACAAATCTGGAACACTGCATGAGATTTATAATATTAGACTGAACTTCATTTAAACATCTAACAATTTTTTTGATCTATTAAAAACTCACAAAACATTCAATAATGCAGTCCAACAGGAACCTACAAGAAATGTTTTTCTTTAACTGATGAAGTTATACACCAGAAATGTTGGTGTCTCGCAGTACTTTGTAGCGAACAGCTTTCCTTCAGGAGTCGGGTCAGAGAAGGCGATTTCCTCTTTGGTCAGGTGGCTCCCGTACATGAAAGTAGTCCTGAATCAGTAAGAAACACCAGTTTTATATACACAAACTAATTTATGCAATTTTTTTTTGTTATTAATGCACTGAAAATGTTTAGTACCTGACAGTGTCCAGAAGGCGAGTGGCGATGCCCTTCCTCCTCATCAGACTGAAAACCCAGATGCGACTGACACCACAGATGGCTTTTTCCGGCACAGTAGAGCAGCACCAGGCTCTGTGGTGCTCCATGAAATCCTCCTTGCTCATGTCTTTGGGTTTCTCTTGCTGCTCCAGCACCCGAAAAGCCTATATAACATTGGGTATGAACAGGGTTTAGCAAGATCTCTTCAGGGTTTCTCCAGGTTTTATAAATGTAAATCGAAAACTTTTTAAGACCAAGTAAAGAAAATTTGAGGAATAAATTGAATAGAACACTATATGGTCTCTAAATGTAAATGTCTTGTATTAGCAATGCTTCAAAGTTGGAAAATATAACTTCCAACAGATTATTACGGACTAACACACACACACACACACAGCTTAAGACTTGTCTTGAATAGCTCTGCATACAATCTTGATAATATGGAAATGACTTTTACTGTACCTTCTCATCACACTGCAAAAAAGTGATGTTCTTCAATAGTATTTTATCTTGTTCTCTAGTGCAAATTTCTAAAGAGTTTAAAATCATGGTACATTTACTTTTGAAGCATAAAGACAAAATATAACTCTTGTTTTCTAAATAATTTATAAAAATGAAGAGGGTTTACGATTAAAACAAAGAACAAATATCTGCCAACTTCAAGTTTTAATTCAAGAAATGAAAACATATTTGACTAAGATATTTGTTCTTGTTTTAACCATAAACTCAATTCAATTTCTAAGAAAACAAGACCTTTATCTGTTAAAATTGCATCTCAAGTGAATGTATCTTTATTTAAGGATGTTTAGATTTTTATTTTTTTTTGCAATGCATGCAACATTTAATTCCATGACATTATGTATTATGCATATTTAAAACTTTCTGCTCACATTTGAGGCCTTTTTAGGCCTTAGTTTGTGGAGGGGGGTAATTAAAGGGGTCATATGATGTTGCTAAAAAGAACATTATTTTGTGTATTTGGTGTAATGAAATGTGTTTATGCGGTTTAAGGTTCAAAAAACAGTATTTTCCATATACTGTACATTATTGTTTCTCCTCTATGCCCCGCCTTTCTGAAACGCGTC